GCAACCACCAATTTACCTTTTGTTCTTTTTACGTGGCTTTTATGAAGATACAATTCACATATCATATGATTCACCCATTTAAGGTATACGTTCATGGAATTATTGTATATACACAGTTATGCAACCATCACCAGTCAATTCTAGAAGATTTTTATCATCCCAAAAGGAAACCCTTTACCCGTTAGCAGTCACTCCCCATTCCCTTCCCTACCCTCCCTCACTTCTCAGTCTTATGCAGCCACTCATCTGTCTCTATAGGTTTGCCTGTTTTTGACATTTTGTGTAAAACATGTGCAATATATGAAATCTTTTGTCCTGGCTTCTTTCACTTAGCATACTGTTTTCAAGGTCCATTCAAGTTGCTTTTTATTGCTGAATATTATTCCATTATATAGATATACCACATTTTTTTTTTGTCCATTCATTAGTTGAGAAATTTTGAGGGTTATTTCTGCTTTTGGGCTGTTATGAATAATGCTCTGTGAACATTCATATACAAGTTTTTGCATGGATGTACGTGTTCATTTTCTTAAGTATTACCTAGGAGTAGATTTGCTAGGTCGTATGGTAACTTTATGTTTAACATTTTTGAGGAGCTACTAAATGGTTTTCCAAAGTGGCTGGGACATTTTACATTGTCACCAGCAATGTATGAGGGTTCCAGTATCTCCACAGTCTCACCAACACTTGATATCGGCTGTGTCTTTGATTATTGCCATTCTAGTGGGTATGTTAGTGGTATTTCATTGTGGTTTGGATTTGCATTTCCATAATGACTAATTATCTTTTCATGGGCATATTGGCCGTTTTATATTTTGTTAAGAGAAATGCCTATTTATATCCTTTGCTCTTTAAAAAGTTAGGTTATGTGTCCTTTTATTATTGAGTTGTAAGAGTTCTTCATATATTCTGGATACAAGTCGCTTATCAGATATATGATTTCAAAAGATTTTCTCCCATTTTGTGAGTTGTATTTTCACTTTCTTAATGGTAATTTTGTAGCACAACAGTTTTAAATTTTGATTTAGTCCAATTTGTCTATCTTTTCATTTATGCTTTTGGTATCTAAGAAATCGTTAGATGACTTAAGGTTGTGAAGATTTACTTTCTTGTTTGCTTCTAACAGTTTTACAATTTTGGCTCTTACATTTATATTTTTATGTGTGTGTGAGGAAGATCGGCCCTGAGCTAACATCTGCCAATCCTCCTCTTTTTCTGCTGAGGAAGACTGGCCCTGGCCTAACATCCATGCCCATCTTCCTCTGCCTTATATGGGCCGCGGCCACAGCATGGATTGACAGGAGGTGCGTCAGTTTGCGCCCGGGATCTGAACCAGCGAACCCCAGGCCGCCGCAGCGGAGCGCACGCACTTAACTGCTTGTGCCACCGGGCCAGCCCCATTGGCTCTTACATTTAGATATCTGATCTGTTTTGACTTAATTTTTGTGTATGACAAGAAGTAGAAGTCACACTTTATTTTTTTAATGTGGATATTCAGTTGTTAAAGTACCATTTGTTAATGAAACTATATGAAAATTAATTGACTGTAATTTAAGCTGGGCTCTCAATTCTATTTCATTGTTTTTATATCTGTCCTTTAAGCCGGTGCCACACAGTCTTGAATAGTATTGCTTTTTACTAAGTTTTGAAATGGGAAGATAACAGTCTTTAATTTTGTTTTTCCTTTCTAAGATTGTTCGGGCTATACTGGGTCCTTTGGATTTCCAAGTAAATTTTAGGATCAGCTTGTCCATTTCTGCAAGGAAATCAGCTGGAATTTTGATAGGGATTTCCTTGAATTTGTAGATCAATTTTGGGGGAATATTGTCATCATAACAATATTATATCCTCCTATTCATGAACATTGAGTATCTTTCCGTTTACTTAGATTTTTAAAAATTTCTCCCAACAATATTTTGTAATTTTTAGTGTGCAGATCTTGCTCTTATTTTTTTAAATTTATTTCTAAGTATATTATTCTTTTCATTGTACTCTGAATGGAATTTTTTTCCTAATTTCATTTTTGGATTGTTCATTGCTAGTGTGAAGAAATACAACTGATTTTTGTATATCAATCTTGTATCCTGCAGCTTTGCTAAACTCATTTATGGGCTCTAATAATTTTTTTGTGGATTCTTTGTGATTTTTCTATATATAGGATTATGCTGTCTATGAATAGAGGTTGTTTTAGCTCTTTCCATCTGACCTGCATACCATTTGTTTCTTTTTCTTACATAATTGTCCTGGCTGGAACCTCAAGTACAAAGTTGGATAGAAGTGGCGAGTGTAGACATCCTGTCTTGTTCCTGATCTTAGGATGACACTTTTTGTTTCTACCATTAAATATGATGTTAGCTGTGAGTTTTCCTACTTTGTTGAGTGTTTCTATCATTGAAGTATGCTGGATTCTTCTGTCAAATGTTTTTTCTCTGTGTATTAAAATAATTGTGTTTTTTGTTGTTTATTCTATGATTATGGTATTACATTAATTGATTTTCAGATGTTAAACCAACTTTGCAATCTTGGTATAAGTTCTACCCTGTTCTTGTGTATATTCTCCTCTTTTTGTTTATGCCCCTGGATTTGGCTCCTTAATATATATTTTTTGAGAGCTTTTGCATCTCTGTTCACGGGGATATTCATCTGTAGTTTCTCCTCTTGTAATATCTCTGTCTGGTTTTGGTATCAGGGCAATATTGGCTTCATAGAATGAGTTAGGAAGTGTTCCATCCTCTAAGTTTTTTGAAAGTTTGTGGAAGATTAGCATTAATTCTTCTTTAATTGTTTGTAGAATTCCCCATTGAATTCAAGTGGGCCTAGGTTTTTCTTTGCAGCTCATTTTTTGAGTACAGTTGTCCCTCGGTGTCTGCGAGGAATTGGTTGCAGAACCCCCTGTGGATACCAAAATCCACAGAAGCTCAAATCCCTTAGTCGGCGTTTCGTATCCCCGGGTTCCGCATCTGCGGATTCAGCCAACCGCAGATCATAAACATAGTACGGACATATGGAGGGCTGACTGTAGTAATTCAGTCTCTTTACTTGTTACTATCTGTACAAATTTTCTGTTTCTTCTTGAGTCAGTTGTGATAGTTTGTGTCTTTCTAGGAATTTGTCCATGTCATCTTGTCATCTAATTGTCTAATTTGTTGGCATACAATTGTTCATAGTATTCCTTTATAATCCTTTTCTAGTTCTTTAAAGTCTGGGTGACTTCCTCTTCTTCATTCCTGATTTTAATAATCTGAGTCTTCCCTCTTTTATTCTTGATTGATCTGGCTAAAGGTTTATCAATTTTGTTGCTTAACCAACTTGATTTAATTGATTTTTCTTTATTTTCTATTATCTGTTTCATTTATTTCTGGTCTACTTTTTATTATTTTTTTTTCTTCTGCTTACTTTGGATTCATTATTTTTTTTTTAAAGGTGAAAGTTTAGGTTATTTATTTGAAATCTTTCATTTTTTAAATATAGTCATTTAAAGCTATACATGTCCCTCTATGCACTGCCTTACATACATCCTGGAGATATTGGTGTGTTGTGCTTTCATTTTCATTCATCTCAGAGTATTTTCTAATTTTCCTTGTGGATTTCTATTTTGATCTAGTGGTTATTTTGATTACGTTCTTTCATTTCTATATATTTGTGAACTTCCCAAATTTCCTTTTTTAATGGATTTCTGATTTATTCCATTGTGGTCAGAGAATGTACTTTGTTTGATTTCAGTCCTTTTAAGTTATCGATGCTTATGTTATGGACCAGCATATGGTCTGTCCTTGAGAATGTTCCATGTGCAGTTGAGAAGCATATGTGGTTTCGGGTGTAGTGTTTTATCAATCCCTGCTTTCAGTCTTATGCTGTCTGTATACACTAAGGCTAGAATGATTCTTCCAAAACACAAACCTAAATATGCAGTTCACCTGCTTAAAACCATTAAATGCTTTTTAGAACGTTTAATTCTAGACATTTAAAGTTGTATTTAAAATGTCTAGCACTTTGCATGATTTGGCCTCTGCTTTCCCCTCTACTTTAAGCCCCCATCCGCACCCCAAATTGTTTTTATAATTCAGCCATACGGCACTTCTTTCCGTTTCCTGGACATGCCATTACTTTGGGTCTTAAATATGCTTTTCCCTCTGTCTGGAATACTTACTGCCTGTCTTCTGGTAATTAGTTCACACTCGTCCTCAGTGGCACTTCTTATGGAGAACCTACAACTACTACCCACAGCTGAGTTAGATGACTTTCCTTTTTGATCATTTAGACCTGAACTTTCCTTTTATTATAAAACAGTTCACACTTTTATTTATTAATTACATGTCTTTCTTGCTGATTATTGAATAGAGTTGGGGTTATTAAGGAAAGGGGAGAAATCAAAGATGATTCTTAGAATTTCTCCATTGAATATTTGGATCGTAATGTAAGATAAAGAAGAGCAAGTTTTCAAGAATAAGATGATGTATTCAATTTTAGAAATGTTGAATTTTGCTACTTGTTCAGTATCCAAATGGAAATGTGCAAAAAGAATGTGTCCTTGTGGTTCTTAATTTGAGTAAAGCTGTCATGTAGTGTTTCTTCCTCCTTTGTTAGGTTGTGAGTTCCTTGGCTGCAGGGACCCTTGCTTGCTCCTCTGTGTTTTTCTGTTACTTGGCACATCATAGATGCTCAATAATTGCTAGTCAAATTGAGTTTTAAATAACAATGCCCATATATCAGTTATATGGCATTTTAATTTTATTATAAATGTTTTATTGGAAAGCATGCCTAGGGGAAGGAGTTATGGCTGATTGTAGAAAATTGTAGTTTGGAGAAAAATGCTGTTTTCTTTTCTTTTCTTTTTACAACAGTGTATTGATGCATTTTAACAAACTCAAATCTTGTTTTATGAATTCAACTATTTTGCTAACCCTTTTTTTCTATTAAAAAATTGTTTGTTTCTTGTCCTAAATACTGTTGTATTTTCTGTATGAGGTGAATCATGCTCTCTTCTGTCTTCTGTGTAGGACTATAATGATGAAATCAGGCAAGCGCAGCTCCAGGAATTAACATACTTGAATGGTGGCTCAGAAAATACAGATGTACCAGTTGTTCGAGGGAAATCCACCTTGCGTACAAGAGGTGTACCGACCCCAGCAATAACCAGGTAGGTGTAATTCACTGACTTTTTGTTGTTGTTGTTAGAGTAGGGTACTGTGGCAACAGTTTTAATGTTTCCTTTATTAATAGTCGGATGGCTCTATCACTATATCAGCACAAAACCTATAAGAATATATTCAGACAGTATGATGTCATATTAAAGGGATTCACTTTGAACTGAGATATTTCCTGAGCTTAAATATAACCTGTGCCACTTAATAGCTGATGATTTGAGATATGTTCATTTGATCACTCTGACATTAGTTCTTAATTATTTAAAATGGAGCTTATTTTTATGTAGATAATAGCATTGATATGCAAAGTAAGATAGTAGAAACATGTTCTCCCCTTGAGTATAGCCTCAGGCTAGTTCCTTGCCACATCTCCAGTGTTGAGTGGTGTCGGGCACTAAGTGGGTGTCCAAATGCCTCTCATCATTTTAGTCACTATAAGTGCTCTGCAGTATCTGAAAAATCCTGGGCTGGTCCAGGCACACAGGATTTTTATTTCTGTCTTTGGATGATGACTACTTTTAATACAAAAAATGTTTTAATGAATTCATAAGTCAATTTAAGCAAATCATAAATTGAGATATGACTGTCTCAAATTTATTTGAGAATTATTTTTAATTCTTTAATCTTTGCCCCTGAAAGAACTCAGTGGAAAGAAGTAACACAAGTTTTTCACTCGTGACTGTATATATGTTTTCAGTTAGAATTTTGCATGAAATAATTTAAAATAGCATTTTTCTATATCTACAAGTTCATTTAGAGGAATAAAAAATCAGTTCCCCTATTCAGTGTTGCTGATAGCGCACCATCAGAGCAATTGCAAATAGGTGTTATTGCAGTATAAAATAAACATAGATCTGGGCATGATGCAGGTGGGTTTTCCCTATAAAAAAGAACTAATAATAATAGAATTGCCGTTGATGATTTAATGAAGTAATTTATGTAGGTGCTCAGTGAATGGTAAATCTCTTTCATTTCCATTTCTTCTACCATTAAATTTACTTGAAATTGTAATAAGAAAGTATTTACTTGCTATATTAGTTTCCTGTGGCTGCTGTGTTGAATTACCACAAATTTGGGGGCTTTAAGAAATAATTTATCATAGTTCTGGAGGCTACGTGTCCGAAATCGGTATTACTAGACCTAGATGAAGGTGTTGGAGCACTGCCCCAAGGCTCTAGGGGAGAATCCTTTCCCTGTCCCTTCCAGCACTGGCACCTGCAGGCCTGCCTTGATGGTATGGCCATCTCACTCTGTTCTCTCCCTCTGTCTTCATGGTGCCTTCTCCTCTTCTTTGACTCAAATCTCTGTTTGCCTTCCTCTTAGGAGGATACATGTGATTGTGTTTAGAGCCCACCGGGATAATCCAAGGTAATCTTTCCATCTCAGAATTCTTAACCTAGTAATCAGATCTGCAGTGGCCCTCTTTCTAAATGAGGCAGCATTCACAGAATGCGTATGCTTTGGATGCTGAGTGTAGCGAGTCAAGCACACCCAGTGCCGTTGTTTTGGGGTGCTATGTTCCTTAAACCAGATCTGCCTTTTTTGTTTGTTTGTTTTGTTTAAGGAAGATCGTCCCTGAGCTAACATCTGCCAATCCTCCTCTTTTTGCTGAGGAAGACTGGCCCTGGACTAACATCCATGCCCATCTTCTTCCACTTTATATGGGACACTGCCACAGCGTGGCTTGACAAGCGGTGCATTGGTGCGCGCCCGGGGTCTGAACCGACGAACCCCGGGCTGCCACAGGAACCGGCGAATCCCGGGCCGCCGCAGCAGAGCAGAGCGTGCGCACTTAACCACTTGCGCCACTGGGCTGGCCCCCAGATCTGCCATTTTTACTGAAAATAAGTTCTAATTTAATTGTCCAGTTTTAAATTAAGTTGAAAATGTTATATTATGAACAGATGAGGAAGGCAGCTTTCTGTTTTTTGGAGTATAGTATCTGGAGAAACACCTCCGTCTGCCCAGATGAAAAATTACTCCTCTTCATCACAGCCTAAACATTGTTTGCCATTTAAAGCTTTTCCATTATCTGGATGGTTACTGTTGTCTGATAGAATTATTGTTAAGTTCCCATTTCAGAACCTATTTTTTGGTTTGTGGTGGAGTAATGGCTCATTCGGTGCTAGATTAAACATCTTTATTTGTGTACTTAGGGTCACCACGCGTTTAAGGAGCACGTGCACCAGGCACTGGGCAGAGCACTTGACACAGAGCCCACTTTCTTCCCTCCGTATGCTTGTGGGCTTCCTTGGTACCAAATCTTTCAAATACTCTGTTTTTTACAGTATGAAATTCATATTCCTAGAAGAGGCTTTCAAAGCCCTTCTGTATTTTTTCTTAAGACCTCTCTCCTGTTTAGTCTTTATTGATTCCTTTGTCATATTTCCCGTGTGTTTAACCCGAGCTAGATACTTACTGTTTCATGAAGTTTGTGCTTACACCTTTCAAGACCTCTGTTGACATATTCCTCTGTCTGCAGTTCTGTATTTCCTCCCTCTGCCCCTCTACCTGTTTAAATCCTACTTATCTTTATATGCCAAACTGAAACTTATTTTAACTAACACTTACATTGCACCTATTGATTGAGTACTTTTTAAGGCATGTTACCTATTCACTAGGTTAAGCCTCATGACAACCCTGTGAGGTGGGCACTATTCTGGTAACGTAACCATTTTACAGATGAGGAAGATGAGGCCAGAGGAGTCAGTTACTTGCCCAGGGTCACACGGCTAGTGATTTGTAGATCCTGCTTAGAACGCGGGCAGTCTGGTTCCATAATCCATGCCTCTCCCTCTCTTTGATCCTTGCCTTGTGTTTTCATCCATCTTTTTTCTTTCATCCATTCTCCCACTGCAGTTCTTCCACAGAACTTTCATTCTGTCACTTTTATTATATTTTCATTATAGCACGATAGCACTTTTCATACAAGCTATGATGAAAAGACTTTTATATTTATTTACTACTTTTTCCCATCAAATCACATATAGTAACTTGCCAAACCAATATGTCCATCTAACAGAATAAAAATAAATTGATATGGGGCCGGCCCGGTGGCATAGTGGTTGAGTTCGTGCATTCCGCTGCGGCAGCCTGGGGTTTGCATGTTCGAATCCTGGACGCAGACATAGGTACTGCTCATCAAGCCATGTGTGGTGCCGTCCCAAATATAAAATAGAGGAGGATGGGCACAGGTGTTAGCCCAGGGCTAATCTTCCTCAGCAAAAAGAGGAGGATTGGCAACAGATGTCAGCTCAGAGCCAATCTTCCTCACCAAAATAAATAAATAAATAAATAAATAAATTATATGGCAATTTGGATAGAAAGTTACAAAAAACCTCAAGAGTAAGGTAAGTATACAAAAAGTACAAGTTATTCTGTAGAGTTGGTGGAGTTCGCCTTCCAGTGATGCTTTGAGCTTCATGGTAGCCAAAGCTGAGGACAGCATGGGTATAGAATTCGGTGTCTAAATGTCCAAAAGCAGTAATAACACAGAAGACAAACCTACTCATCGAAGCCTAGCACTTTCTAGTCCTGAGACTTGTGAGAAATGTCTCCAGTGGAGAGTCGTAAGTCTTCCCTGCAAACAGTCCCTCAGCAAGTCATTTTGAGTTTACCTCTAAAATAAACCTTAGGTCTGTTTTTCTTTAATCGCCTCTCCCGTCCTTCCTAATCTGTCTACACTCCTCTTCCAGTTTGCAGTCACAGTCTTAATGACCTTTTAAAATTAAGTTAGATTTATCTTGTCCCTGCTTAACATCCTTCAGTGGCTTCCTTTGCAGCTAGAAGAAAACCCAGACTTCCTGACCTGCGCCTCCATGCTCTGGCACTCTCCTGCTCTCTGACTGTATCTCCTTCCACCTGGCCATTTTCTGTACTCCAGCCAGACTGGTCTCCTTTCTGTTCCCTGAAGAGGCCAAGCTCATTTCTCTCCCGGGTGCTTTACGTTCACCCTTCCTTCTCCCCAAATGCTTTGTCTCCTCTTGTCTGGCTCCCCGCTCTCAGCATTGTGTTCTCAGCATATTCAGGTGCCTTGTCACAGAAGCCTTTGCTGATCGCCTTGTTTAAAGTAGCCATCCCCTAGTCCAGAAGCTAGTCCACCGCACCCTGTCTTGATTACTTAGTAGCATTTATCAAACTGAATTTACCTTTCTTATTTGTTCACTTTTTCATTGGTTACTTCTCATTGTAATATAAACCCATAAATGCCCTTGTACAAGTCCCCGATACTTGGCATATAGTAATCACTCAGTTAATAGTTGCTACATGAATACAATACAACAGCAAATCCTTTAGGCTCTTGCTGATCAAGTGTTGACTGTTTACAATATTTTTTGTTAATGTAGTTCTTGTCTGTCACACATGACTCAGTTTACTTGGGGATTAGCTCTGTGGAAATGGTCACGTGGATGTCACCACTTTAGAATTTCACAGTGGAACAGTTACTGGAATCTTCATGAATGTTCCCCACTGTTATCACCTCAGGATACCTTTCTGCTAAAAGATGTAAACAATCTAAAATTAAATCCTGCATTGGCAAATAATAAGTGTTTTAATAAAACTTTTTCATTTCAGTTTCAAATGAGAGAACTAAACTTACACTTTTTTTTACTTAGGAGGTAAGGAAGTTTCTTTACTTCCAGTCTGTCATGTGCTATGCCTCCTAAAAGCATTGCTGTGAATACGAGGCCTCCCTAACTCCTTCCACAGACCCCAGCAGAGAAGGAATTAGGGAAGTAACACAGATATGAAATTGAGGCCACTCCAGGCAACACACTTTTTGTTTTGTTTTAGTTTTTCTCAGTAGGTCTCCTACCCTGAATTTTGCCTGCTGCTTTGTTGGTCTGGGCTAGACAGTTTTGAACCCTCAAGGATGCTCCCTTCCATTCCTCTCTTGAAAACAGTGGGCTTGGTGTGTGTTGCTTTTCCCCTGGCCCACCTGGCCCTTTCTTCCAAGTAGCAGGCAGTCTTATCTCTCTGCGTGTGATACCAG